AAGGATGTACTAATAACTTCAATGAAATTAATTAAAGTGTAAAAATATTAAAGCCTAAATATTATACTTATAACCAAGTATGTTGAGTCTCCACAACTAAATTACAATTATAAGTTTTCTGAGAAAGATAAAGCACATTTATCATTTTTTTAATACTCTGCACCATATTAATAATAATTGTGTATATTGCAAGAAATTTGAGATATTGTGAACTTCTTCTAGAAATTTTTACATCCTTGGATGAAAAAATAGTTGGCGTTGTTGTTGATGATGATGATGACGATGATGTTGATGAGGATGTCTATCATTTCTGATAGTTTATTGATGACATGTACTTAATTCATTTATCCCATTTACTTTTCTGTTGCTCTATAGATTATAGCCTTTCATAGCCCTTCCCTTCTTTAACAACTTCTCAAAAACTATTAAAACATAGAAAAGTAGCCATTTATTTTTTAACTATTCTCTAATAATTAAATTATATAACAAGCATAAAAGCATTTTTTCTTTGCAATTTTAGATTTGTAACATTTCTTTTAGTAATAGAATTTTAATACCCATTCTGATAAGAAGGATAAAGAGTGAAAAATTTTAAAAGAATGGTGAGCATTTATATCCTCTTTTTTCAAACTATTATATAGCTTAATCATCCAATAATATATAATTATTAATGAAATCTATTGCCGATTCTGAAGGGCAACGGTTTTCTCTATCGCAGCGTCAAGTAATTCTTGAGAACCAAAGGTGACATAGGCCCACCATTTAGGCTTATAGGAGTTAAAGGATAATGGAACATTGACTGCCTTGGCATTCAATTGCCAGAAAAGTGGGGTCAAATCAATGTCTTTAGTGTTAGCTGGGAGTTGAGTGAGCAGAGCGACATGTTTTCTGCACGATTTCTTCTGTTCCAATGAGAGATGGCAGAGGGTGATGCGTAGGCAGGTAGAATAGCAATACACAGCCCATTGATCATTGAATTGTGTGATAGTGACTGCAGAATCGTAAATGATTCTGGCCTGTTGAACTTTCAAATCAGCATGAGCGTGGATTCTACATGAGTCAATGTTGCCAAATCTTTTAAAGGCCACAACAATGTCATCTTTTTTAATATAGAAGGGGATATCTGTTACTTGAATAGTGCGCAAGTCCTTAAAGTAAGAGATATGAATAAATTAAACACATTAAAATCTCTTTTCTTTTCTTTGACAAGTAATGAAAAAAAAAATTTTTTTTAAAATGCTCTCTTATTGAATATTTGCATTTCTGTTACACTTTCAGATCTAGGTAGTGGCAAAACTTGTATTTGCAGTGCCATATTCATTGTTATTGCCAACAGTAAAATCCAGTTTACTAAAACATCAAAATGGTTGATAAATATTCAATGTTATAATGATTACTTTTAAAAATGTGTATAAAATACTGATTTATATTTATAATATTATTCATCAAGTATGAATAAAACCCATAAGCACAATGAAATTAATTATTTATATTATTTATATGCAAACTGAATGAATAGTACATTTCTTATCATGTTAATTAACTAATTTATTCTAACTAAATAAAATAAAAGGGGGGATAATAGGATAAAAAAAAAAGCAAAAAAAAAAAATTTTTTTGTGGAATCCACACTATTTATATAGGCTTTAGATATCAATAAAATTTTACTTATTTTAATATAAAGTTTGATGAGGCTGTGAATAAGGTTTGAGTCAATCATATGAATTCTAATGTTTAATTTCCAAAAGACACCTGATTATGGCTTTTGATTGTATATAATATGATAGAAACATGTGATTAAACGTATGATTTCAATACAAGCTGGCAAAGCTCTTTCTAATAAATTTAATAAATTACTAATAATAATTAGACACTTTTAAGGCTTATGTCTTTGTAACTGATGTGGCAAAGTGCACTATCATGTATTCCAAAAGCCACATCACACAAAATAATATTTATTGTAAAAACATTCAGCCCAATTTCTGTACAAATAAGAAATGTATGTGAAATAACTGTTTATCATAAATCAGATAGCTTTAATATAATTTTGTGTCACCGTAGCATCCAGAGTATTCTTGTTTAGGGTATTACTCGGAAGTTGCATGTATCTGATATGACCTTTGAAAATTTCAAATCATTAAAATAATAATCCTCAATTCTATTATTACATTGCGGCGGATTTATGAAATTTGGCAAAAACCCTGCTGCGCCTCGGAAATTAAAATTGACTTACAGAAACATTAAGCTTTTTTCCTAAAAAAAAATGTCAAATAATGACGCACCTTTAACCTGGAAAAATTGATTAGGTAACGGAAAAATTGGTTAGACGCAAGATTTGGGTACAAAAAAATTTTTTAGAGCTCATTTTTGACTGTTCACTAATAAATTTGGGACTTAAATAGAAATTTGGTGACTAAAAGACTGTCAAATATTTATTTAATTTGACATGACGGACAAATTTTGAGGTATTTCATAAATCCGCCATGATGAAACTTATGTGATATAATAATTATATAAAATAATTTGTCCTATTAAATCAGCATTCCAATTTTTTCCGAAGTGGGAACTTTATAAATAAATTTTCTTTGTTTATAAAATGTTCATTTTTCACTTTCTGTAAAACTGTTAATTCATTTTATTTGTTCTAATAAAGAATAAGAATTGATATACCTTTGATGAGATCATGAGATTTATAATTTTTAATCTATTTCTATAAAAATAATGTAAATATTTCTTGGAGTATTTATTAACGTAAAATTCTCTTTTAAAAATATTACTACTTAAATGCTAAATTTACACATTATTGTAAAAATTGTATTGGAACTGATTAATAGTAAAGAATTATTTTGAATTATATAAAGAAGACGCATTCAATTCACTGACAATTACTTTCACTAACAAACATTTTGCTAACAAACACTTAAAAAAAATATGTGTTAATAAAAAAATTGAAGATATGCTTGTCTAACTTAGGTCGGTTTTCAATTTATTAACTTATAAAACAAATACTAAAACAAAAATAGAAACCAGCTTTTACATACAAAAAAATATTCACAATCATTTTCTTCTAATTGGATATTTGCAAAGCTTTTCGTAACAAACATAAAATTAATATTAATGGTTAATGTTTACCATGTCTATTTACTTTTTTAGGTAGCTAAATATCATAATAATAAAATAATAATGTCAGTGAAACGACTGTCGATGAATGTTTGACAGTTAAATGATTCTGGTAGTGAAATATATATTAGTGAGAATGGTGTTTTGCTAAATAAACTTTGAATTTTTATGTAAGAAAATATTTAGTAGATGCATTTAATAAATAACGAAAAAAAAAATAGGATTTCTAATTTTTTTAAATAGAAGAAAAGCGAAAAAATAGGTTCTTCTAATTTCTTACGAAAAATAAAAAATACAATTGTTTTTTTCCAATTTTCTAAAAATACAGAAAAAAAATTAATCTAATAAAAAATATAAAGTTTTTGAAAATATTTTTATATTTTCTTTCTAAGAGACAATTTTTTTTTTCTCAAAAAAAAAAAAAACATTTTGCTCTTTACTTTTATTTAATAAAAAAATGTCCATTATCTATCACAGATATCAAAATATAAAGGAAAAGGGTTCTTTTCATTGTAGATAATTTAATTCTTAAAGAACATGAACATTTTTTGCTATTCTCTTACCTTTAAAAATTCGATGATATTAATCATATTTAATTATAAATATGATACTAAATATTGTGCTTGGGAGATAAAGTTTCCCGTAAGTTGCATATTTCAACTGAATAAAAAAAAAAATTTTAACAATTTGAAAACATTGATCAAAAAAAAAAAAATAATAATTAAAGCTCAAGAAAATTCTCATGAATTTTTCTTGCTCTAAAAAAAATTTTTAAAAATAATACGTGGGAATTAGTCTTTCTTTTTAACAATATAATGTATATATAATAATAATAAATATTATGTTTGAGGAACGAAGCCCCCATTATTCTAGTAAGAAACTTCGTAAAAAAATTTGATTGATACAAGTTCATTACAATATAAACTGTTTTGAACTTTTTGTAAGTGCTTCTAAAATTAATTTTCGAAACTTTCATTGGAATTTTGCAGTCCACAAACGGCACAGGGTCCGTTATTTCGCTTGTAAGAACCTCTCGTCATTTTCTATTAAGAGAATAGTCGAGTATGTTTATATTAAATCCTGATCTTAGTTAACAATATACGTCCAAATTTTTATATAAAAGTATATATAACAGCTCTCTCTTATGAACATTTTTTTTCTTTTTTTAAGATAACGCGTTGCCATATAAATTGGATCACATGATGTGCAAATTATGCAAATTAGCCAATAACTGATAATCTTAATTTTGCCCTAAAAAAAAGGCCCAATTGCAATAATACACGTATATGTACTGCTCTTCTATGCATAGTTATATCATCTATTCTATGCGACCAATAATCTCTATTTAACATGCACGTTTGAATTGTCGCACCAAAATGATCATCACCCAATACCCTAGTACCCCCCAAAAAAATAATGATTTCACCGCTTAAACATATCACTTCGTTCAATAGACTGGGATTTTCTTGGTCATTTGTTCTCTACAATTATTAAAAGATCCCTTTTAACAACTTTTTGGTTGCATATGAAACTTAAATACCGTTAGAGTATTGTTTTAGCTCTGTTTACTGTGGAAACAAAGAATAATTGTTGACATTTGAGAACGAAGTAAACAGCAATAATATAGAAAGTGAGAAAGACGATTTACTATTATTCAATATTTTACATTCCGTTTCTTGTCAATTTTAACATATATTTTGCTTTGTTTAGTTGTTAAAATAACTATATAGTTGGTTGACTTGGATAACTGCGCCACAAAAAAACCAAAGGAGAAAAAAGCGTAAACCCCGATATTTAAATGGTTTTTTTTTTTGCGGCGCAGCAAAGGATTTTGTGTGTTGCTGAAGGGGGTTTATTTTAATTAACCACCGTCCGCTGCGTTATTTCTACTTTATAATGAGTGAGAACGTTACGCCACTTGAGTTTCCAATTGGCAGTTGGTTATCAGTGGCATTATATTTATCGAACAATAGTTTAAAAGCATCAGAAAATCTTCCCGAATGCCAAAAATAAATACGATTAATTAACCACTTCATTATAGAAGCTGCGCCTCGAACATCGTGATGCAAACAGGGTAAAGATATTATTGGATGGTAATATATCACAAATAATTTATCATTATGATCCTCACGGCTTCAAGATTCTTGATAAGATTGCTTCTGGGGCATCCGCCTTGGTTTATAATGTATGCTGGAAAAGTGCATCAAAGTTCGCAATTAAAAAATTCATCGGAAGCTCTAGCAAAGAGGCCATCGTTAATGAGGTACGTTGCTAACTGAATATGATATGATAAGGCTTTTTGTATAAATAATTACAATTTTATTTCTAGATTTATTTAATGGAAATGGTTAATTCTCATCCGAATATAATTCAATTCCATGGGCTTACAAAATTGCAAGGTAAATAGCGATCATGTAATAAACCTATAATGATTTTTATTTTTTCTCTGATGCATAATTTAATTATTTTTGACATGTTTGATATTCATTAGATGAAAAAAATTACTCGCTTGTCCTTGAATACGCAGAAGGTGGAACACTGAGAAAGTATTTGAGAAACGACGCTATTAGTTTTGAATGGGAGAGTCAATTAAGATTTGCTAAGGATATCGCAAGTGCAATTTCATGGTTACATGATGACATGGGAATCATACATGGGGACCTTGTAAGTATACTATATTCGTGTTACCTTACAGTATAATTCATTATATTAATTAGTTATGAACACTATTCTTTTTTAGCATCCAAATAATATCTTAATAAACAAAGGAACAATAAAAATAGCGGACTTTGGATGTTCATATCTAAAAGGATCAAACCGTAATACTCAAGTACAAGGTGTAATACCTTACATGGATCCCAATTTTTTTGAGCAAAGACTATGTTCGTCCGAAACTCAAAGACATCCATATCCCTTAGCCGAAAAGGCCGATATATATAGTCTAGGGGTATTATTCTGGGAATTAACAAGTCGTAAAATGCCTTTTGATTTTGAAACAAAAAACAATGACCCTTTCGAAATTATTAAAATCAAGTCGAACATCCTTAAGGGTATGAGAGAAAAACCTTCTCCAGGCACAAACCATAAATTCGTTGCGCTGTATGAAAGTAAGTATGGAATTATATGATTTTTTATTGCAATCTAATTTTAATTGTCGTTATTTATTTCAATAGAGTGTTGGCAACATAAACCAGATGTAAGACCAGAAATTCGCCAAGTAATTTTAGAACTCAATAATATTGAACCTTTGGTTGTATCGGAAAATTTTGGTTTTAAAGAAATCGAAACAATGGAAAAATCAGGAACATTAGAAAACGATGAAGTTAACGTACCGAGTTATGACTGCGATATAAACAAGTATAATTTATAGAACATTCAATTATGATGTATTTTTTTATTCGTATCATTTGCAGACATGTCTTTATAGTTGAATAAATTATAGATTATTTCCATGTTTATGGTAATAGCTTTCCGATTTTATCACATGAATTTTGCCGATCATTTTGAAAAGTTCTACACACTAATATATTCTCAATCAATTAAATCTAAGTGGAGTTACTCTCGCTATAATCATATTCTACTATATAGTCATACCGGTTAGATGTTCAAAGTACTTATTATTAAAATCTATCCTATAAAGTCAAAGGATAAAATATAAATGTCCAATCAGTTCATATTTAGGCCAATTAAATTTTTTTATTTGGAGTAATTACTATGTACCACCCGAACCGATGAAGAATTATTTGAGTTATATAAAGAAGATGCATTCAATTCACTGACAACTACTTTCACTGACAAACGTTTTGCTAACAAGCACTTCCCCGTTCAAACTTATTAAAAGAGACGATTTACAAATGAAGGAAATTGAAGCTGTATATTTACTATACATTGGTATATATTTAATGAAATTGAATAATCTTGTGAATATTATGAACTAAATAATAGTGTTACAAAAAATAGTTGAATTTTTTAAAATGTTAGTCAACGAGTATAATTATTAATATAGTTGTGCACAATTCTTAGGAGAAAGTAGATGATAAATAGCTATAGTTTATGAATTGTATAAAGGATTATTTTTTAAAATTTATTATAATAAATGGCATGTTTGTTCTTCATGTTAATTTAAATATATTTCATATTTTTCTCTAAAATTATTATTATAATGCCGTGCAAAGTGGTAATTTCAGAAATAAACAATTTAAAAAATGTATAACAATTATAAATCTTTTTTTTTTTAAATAAAAATAACAAAATAATAATAATGTGAATTTTTTTTGTAAATTTAATTGATGGTAATCGTGATTCAGAAATAATACTTGTCCACTCTTCAACCGTACAGGTCTATATCATTCTGTTACATTATCAAGGTCTATAATGTGTGGAAAATATTCTCTAAATAGATTAATATTAAATGTGAATAGGAAATCTATAATATTAAAGTGCAAGAAGCTATTACTCACTCTTCATTTGGTTCTTCATCATTATCAAAACCTATGTATGCAATTCATGATTATTATCTATCAATGTTTTGACTTGTATTTGGACTCAAAGTTTGAGTTATCCCTATTTTCAACCTGAATGGCTTGAAAGTTCATCATATTCGGACTCTAGAAATTTATTTCTATTTTCAACCTGAATTTAAAGATAAATTATATTTTTAAGCAGAGAAACTGGTGCAATGAGAAGAAAGTAAATACTAACTAGTTCTGTAACTCTATTGAAGTGTATAAATAATTTGTTTCCCAGCTTTGCTTTTTCAATATGCGTCCAGAATTTTGAGACAGCTTGAGATTTGATTTCATACTAAATTAAATGTAGAAAGTTTGGTTAGTTTTGTTTCATTTAAAGAATATATAAACGAAAATAGTTTTTCGGGGCTCAATTTACTGTGATGCCAAAGCAAAGGATGGCACAGAAAATGGAATCCTGTGATAAAAGCAGAGGATCTAATCCTGAGTCCAAAGCAACAGGAACAGTTTAATGTAGATACATCACCTGATAATTTTTGACACTAGTCTTTGAATTCGTGATGGCTATTGGATCAATTGGATTACTGATTGGTTTTACTGATTTAATTTCAATTCCACAAGTAGAACTTCTAAACCTAATCTTTATTGGGTTACCCCGGTCAAAGTCCAACAGATTTAAGAAAAAAAGATAAAGACTTCATCAATTGGACTATTGGACCTAATAATTTTATTAGTCTAATAAATTGGACTTATAAGTATAACCAACGCTGAATAGGATGATGTTTCCAGATATTGTTAAGAATTTCAACCCATTTCTTATGTGTTGCTTGTTTATCTGTGACAGCAGTATTTAGGAACCATAAATATTCGAGATGATTTGAAACGCCAGGCTTTTCTAAAATCTGATTGTATCTCATTCTTCGTTCACTTTTGAGACTTCTGAGCTTGCTTTGCGTTTTGCCCTTATTTTTGTAAACTGTTTTGAAAAGTTTGAGGGTATATACTTGTAAAAATCTTTGTGAATACATCATAACTAATAAAATAGACTTTGATCAATGGTTTGTTATGATGACATAGATATGGTACTCAAAAAAAAATTATGCGAAAAAAAAAGATTAAAGTGACGTTATGACAATATAGGTGCTTTGAAAAAAATTACATGTTAAATAAATATTCTCATATTACTCATATACACCATAAAAGGTAATCGATTACATAATTATTGATGAGATTGATGAATTTTTTAATTTATAAATCGATTAAACGAGATCCATCGATCGGGATCAATGTTAATCAGTCGAATATAACTGAATTTTTTTTTATATATATATTTTTTTCATTTTTTTCGATATATTATAGTAGTTATATCTTGAAATACAGAATATGGTTGTATTTCAGAGTAGAAGCAGGATTCTGGGGAAAATATGAGGTCAATAAATTAATTTTATAATTTTATAATAAAAGAATAAAGTTTTTAAGAAAAATTCTCATAAATTTTTTCTTGCTTTTAATTATTGAAGAAAAAAAATATTTTAAATATTTGTAGGAACTTTTCTTCCTTCTGAACAGTAAATACATTTATAATAATAATAAATATTATTCTTGGGTACAAAGAATTATAAACAATTCTTTTTTTTGCTCTATTTTTAATACTTTTTTTTATATATTACTTATATAGAAAATTTTTATCGAGTTATCATTTTCTTTTTTTTTTAACTACAACTCAGATGCAACTTATAATGGAAGTTTTTATACTTAAATATACGTAATTTTTATGATGAATCAAATTATTTAGTGAATAAAAAACAAGGTTAATAATAATTTTTGTGGCAATTCTCTCTTTCACATATATTCATCAAAGCCGATGGCAAAAGTGGAAGCAAAGAAAATATTCTTCAAGTAGGGCATCTTATAGCTCTAATAGCTTACCATCATAAAGTTTTGCACAGCTTTTCTTGGCAATAATCAAATAAAGATGGATGTCACATCTGGTTGGCTACTTTGATTGAGAACACCACAAATGAATAAATTAAAAATAATATTTTATATTTTGCTTGTATTACCATGTGAATTTTGGTTTAAATCCAGGCCAAAAACCCTTTTAAACAAGTAAATCAAACTCTAATATCAAAATTCTTTAAAAATCAGCAATAAAATTTTGATCGAATTCTAAAGAATTTGAAGAATTATTGTTATTATAGTTATTGTTGCTGTTTTATTTCAAAAGAACTTTTACAAAACTATGATAAAAATATTATTTTAATTAAAATCTTATAAAACAGATATATAAAACGTGAATTTTATATAATAAATTCTATCTATGATATTAAACCTAAAGAAATATAGTACACTGACTTTTTATTTCATTTCTTTTAAAAGGGATGATTTTGCACTTGCTGGATTAAGTATCACGTACATTCCACAGTTTCCAACATTCACCCGCCTATTACACTTAAATGAGACAAATCTAATTTTTTCAAATATGAGTCATGACATGTAACACATAGTCTTGATGATGTAAATATATAACTGATAATTTAAGTAATATAAATATGTCGGTTTTCTTTTTTTTTAGGTCTGTCTTCTTTCTGTCTAAGTCTTCTCTTTATTCTTAGGTCCCTTTCTTTACGTCTTCCTTTAGGTATGTGTTGTTGTTCGTAGGTTTGTGTGTGGGTTTGTACGTGGGTGGTGTGTATGTTTGTGTATTTTCTTGCTTTCCCTTCGTTTTCCCTTTCCCCTTCGTTCTCCCTTTTCCCCTTCGTTTTCTCTTTCGTTCTCCCCTTTCCCTTCGTTCTCCCCTTTCCCTTCGTTCTCCCCTTTCCCTTCGTTCTCCCCTTTCCCTTCGTTCTCCCTTTTCCCTTCGTTCTCCCCTTCCCTTCGTTCTCCCTTTCCCTTCGTTCTCCCTTTCCCCTTCGTTTTCCCTTCCCCTTTCGTTTTCCCCTTTCCCTTCGTTTTCCCCTTTCCCTTCGTTTTCCCCTTTCCCTTCGTTTTCCCCTTTCCCTTCGTTTTCCCCTTTCCCTTCGTTTTCCCCTTTCCCTTCGTTTTCCC